CCAAAGACCCATGACGACGGAGAGGTCATGTCAGAACAACCCCCTACGGTAGTCAAAATCTAAACAGTAAAACAGTGGATTAAGTGGGGTACACACGTTGCATAAACAATCAGTCTCCACGGGGATGCGGCCTGGTTAGTGAAAAATTTCTACGCAGCGGGAAGGCAAACGGAATATTACTCACCTCCAACGAGCTTTGATAAAGAAAAAAATAATCAACGAAGATATCACTGCAATCAGAAATTTAAAGAAATTCAGAAATAAAAGAAAAAAAAAAAGAAAGACAATACATTTTTATGAGAAAACATCGAATCAATCAGTCAATGCAGGAAAAAAAAAAAAAAAAAAGAAGGATCACACGTTTGCGCGAGATGATCCAAATGAAAAGTATTTGGGAAATTTCAGAAAATTGCTGTTCGATTGTATGAACACCGTGAAACTCGAGCTTTCGTGGAGTATCGCAGGAAGTCGAGGGGAGCTTCCGATAGAAACTTACACGTACAGGAGAGGGACTTGCGCGCTTTCCAAAATAGCAGCATCAGCGGATAAACATGTCTTATTTTGAGAGCTGGTCTTCTCTCTTCGTTCCTCTTCGGCCTGTTTCATCGACGAGCCTGATCTTACGCAAAAGAAACACTATCCAGACCCTGTACGCCAAGGATGGACTGCAGAAATCCAAGAGAATTATACGGTGCTCGAGGAAACCAGGATGAACCAGAGGTTTTGACGGAAATTTACGAGCTTCTGGATAGATCGATCCGTAGATGATTTGCTCGCGACCTCCAATCCAGACGTACTCTCTATCTAATTTTCACCCTGTCTCCGTGTCTCTTGAAAACGATTCGATTTTCTGAAGTGGTGAAAACAGTCCACCTACTGTCTACTGAGACGCTTCAAGCATCCCCAAGGAGAAGCGTGTCGCCATCGAGTTTCAACGACCTGAATGCGATGGACTAACGTATATGTATATGACAATGAGATTAATTTGGAGTATTCCAAACATCATCGTTTAGAAGGATTTCGTTGAAGAAGTAACGACAAAAGAAGAAGATAAAAGTAGAAACATATTAGAAGATAAAATAGTTTCATCAGGTGATACTGATTAATGTAAATTAATGTAAATTGAAGAATGTTATGATAGTATAAACTGCAATAAATTAACAAGAATCTGTCAAGTTCTGATTAAAGGACGAGATTCGAAGGTTGGGAAACTGAACAAATGCAAGGCGCCGGGTATGGCAACCACGTGCTGCTCCATTTTACCCCTTCCATTTGTCGGACGTCACGTTCCATCGCGGCCGGAACAAGGCACAACAAAAGAGAGAAGAGACAGAATTGTTTGCCTTGGGTACAGTTTAAGACCCAATCAAAGCAGAGACACGTCCCCAGAGAAAAGATATCCATTTCCTTAAAAGAAGCCGAGGCTTGTTTTCACTCTCGAGGTGCAACTAATGTATTCAATCATCATGCTTGATGTATACTTTCTACAAGCAGAATATCTTCATTTATTCATCACGGTGATCATTATTGCTCACGTTTGCCTAACAACGTGAATGCTTAAGAAATTGAAATGTTTCAAGCTACTTGCAATTAAATATTATGTAAGATTCCAATAAATCCTATCCATCAGTTTCTGGCTTCTCTGACTCTGTAAAAAGAAGAATCAATGTTACATCGTACAGGTGTACGCGGTTCGAGCATCTGCTGGTGAGCATAGGGTTGAACATGCGACAGGAACGTAGGGCTCGTAACGTGCACCCACGATCAGTGGTATAAAATTACGGTATCGTGTAAACAGAGAATATCGTCGGCGTGTCTGATGGCCGCTTGGGTGGCCGTCAGGGCCTCACGTGTTCTCCACAAGCAGTGAGACTCTAACTTCGGCCTCGTCGAGCAGCCGGATCGCGTAAATTGCCGAAGAATTAACGAAATGGATGTTCACAAATGAATTAGCGAATATCAGTAACAATGGTTCTGCTCTATTTGCGGAATCCTCGGGATTAGAATGGGAAGAGAACAAAATTTGTCTCGCAAAACGTCTGCGTTCGTATCTAATTGCTTCAATTTAAGTAGATATTTATTATTTTTTCCTACGAAATTGCTAATTATATCGTGTTGTTTTAATAAATCTATTATAAATGTAACTAGTTTTCAGAATAATTTGTCGGAGGCCATTTGGAATCTACATTGGTAACGCAAGTTACCACGAAGAGAACAAGTTTATTCTCTACTGTACAATTTGTTAAAGAACTTGAAATTTCCTTGCTTGAGAAGCAAATCACAAAATGGCTACGCCGCCGGATGTAAACAGACGAGAAAGTTCGTAACATGCACGTGAGGCAGACAGCCGTAATGTCTGGTTCCGGTCTGCGGTTTTCCTACGGGAAACACGTGCGACTGAAACGGGTTTTCTTCGGGTGGTCTTGGTTGTCGGCACCTTGTATCGCGTTTTATCTTTAAAAAAAAAAAACTGATCCGGAACTGTCGCGATTTGGCCCGAGTGTTGTTTATCGAAGAAGGAAGAAAGGGTCGTTTCGAGGCCTTCAAAGGACAGCAAAATATCAAGTAGACTTAAAATACTTGTTTTCTTACGGTGAACGATAATTATTAAATTTCTTTTCTCATAGACAACGATTTTCCTTTCTGCAACATAGCAGAAACTCCCTGTGTATTAACATGCTTTCTCCCTTTGCTCTCAGATATCTCGAAAGACTCAATTAGGCTTTTCTCAAGTGGCACTTGAAGCTGTCGCAGAAAACATCACGGAGAAATCTTGGAAGCAGTAAAATAGTTAAACACTTCTGAACGCCACTATCTTCGGAGGATGGCCTCTGCAAGAGAAGGCAAGTACTTCACTTTCAACCCTTAAGTCACGAGATCGACTATTAAACGTTTTATATATA